ATTTCCATACTATCTACCATAAAAAAAAACAACCACTTGTTAGTTGTTCCTTGTTTCCTTCCATCTCATTCTTATCACCATGTATGTTCTCGTTATCCGAAGTTTCCATCTAAAATTAAAAAGTKTGTATATGATAATGACATAATATGAATGAAAAAACCATTAATGAGAATCTATAATAAACTTACAAAATACAAACTTAAAAGCATCAAAAATTAATGAAAGATACTCAGTATGTATGTATACCTAATTTGTTTAAATAAATTGACCAACCACAATAATATATCAATTTGGTCCACATTAGTTCACAAATCAAGAAGGCAATTAGGTAAATAGGTAAGGTAATTAGGTAAAGACATCATTTACCAACACTTTTGTAATTGAACAATCAGAGTCATCATTTCAAGGTAATCAAATCTATGAAATAACACATCCATTTATAAAACCTTCATTTTGTTTGATGAATTGATGCAGGTCATCAATTTGACATCCTATAAGATTACAACTTCTTAATTAGGCATTACCTCTTTCGCAGCACGGAACTCCTCTAGCTTATCACTTACCAACACTTCTGTCAGTTTCACATCTCCACTGCAGCAATCAYCAACAAGAAATATACCCGTGTCAGAAACTATGATAGAGAACTTGTAAATCATGTGAACTTACAAGAAGTGAAGATGAAGAATACAAGACATAACACACCAGGGAGAGGCCGAGAGGAAGAGCCGAAGAGGGAGTAGGGTTTTCGCCGTGAGGGAGAGCCGAAGAGGGAGTAGGGTTGTCGTCGTGAGGGAGAGCCGAAGAGGGAGTAGGGTTGTCGCCGTGAGGGAGAGCCGAAGAGGGAGTAGGGTTGTCGCCTGTCGCCGTCGCCGTGGGCCTGTCGCAGTGGGCCTACCGTCGCCTGTCGGGATAGAGCAGTGCAGCGCCGTGCGTGGAGCGGTCTGGAGGAAAGAGCAGCAGCGCCGGCCGCCGTGCGTGGACTGGAGGTCCTGGACTTGGAGGAGAAATGGAGAGATATCAAATATCAAAGCCGATTAGGTTCTACGATTTAGGAGAAAAGTGTTAAGTGTGTGGAGTGTGGACTGGGCTGGAGGAAGGATGCATTCATTAACATTTTACAGCCCAAAGCCCAAATTTTTATAAAACATATATATATAAAACGGGTACGGTGCGGGGCGGGGAGTGCTATACCCGTCCCCGGCCCCATCCCCGGATTGCTTCAAGCTGGGATCCCCGTCCCCGTCCCCGGGACCCGGTTTTTTGGGGAATCCCCGTCCCCGATCGGGGCGGGTGGACCGGGTTACCCGACGGGTCGGGGTCCATTACCATCCCTAACCGGCATCGGTGGTGGTGGAGTTATGTATAGTGGTGGAAGGGGGAAATATTGTGGTGAATAGAGAAGGAGTTCTAGAAATGCTTACCGGAGTAACAACCGCATGAGACTCGTCGTAGTCCACCCGGACGGCCGTGGAGCGACCGGCGGTGGTGGTGGTGTAATCTCGAGCCGGCGGTGCAAAAGCAATGGGATCGGGCAATAGTGGTTCTAAGTGGGCCATGGGTGGAGCGACCGGAGGTGCGACGGGAACGGCGGAGGAAGACTCGTCGGCGACAGCCCGTCGTGTAGACCGCCGTGTCGGAAGTCGGTCGGTTGGTGGTTTTCGCGATTTGGCCATGGAAAAGGAGAAATAGAGAAGATGAAGAGTGAACAATGACTTTGCCCCCTTTTTCTTAGAAAACCGGCGGTTAAGACTCCTAGGAAACTACCCCCATGCAAAGCCCTTTGTGTAATTTGTTTTTGAATAAAAAATGAAAAAGCAAATGTCTCATCATCTTACACAAGCCACCAAAATCAGAAAACTCATCATTTTCTTTCATTTTAAAAATCCCATTTCTTTTTCTTTGAAGAATATCCACAAAAACCCGCCAAGTTTAATTTTTTTTTACGAAAAACCCACTAAAGAATGTGAGCATGAGATGCTTACCACGACACACCTGCATGAAATAAACATAAAGTACGCAAATTAAAATATATACAATATTTACAACAGACGGTTTCGATGAAAATCAGAGAGATTTTTGGTGTGGATCTTGCATTCCTTCCGGGAAGAAATGTTTGACCCGATGCCCATTCACTTTAAAAACAGTATTGTCTTGTGGGTTTAAGAGATCTATAGTTCCAAATTTTCCCACCTCAACAATAGTGAAAGGTCCCGACCATCTAGATTTGAGTTTTCCGGGGAAAAGCCTCAATATAGAATTAAAGAGAAGAACTTTTTAACCTTTTTAAAAAATTATCTGATTGATCCTACGATCATGCCACATTTTCGTCTTTTCTTTGTATATCTTGGCATTCTCATAGGTTTGGTACCTCCACTCTTCCAACTCATTAAGTTGGAGCTTTCTATTCTCTCCCGCTAGAGTTGCATTTAAATTTAGTTCATTTATAGTCCAAAATGTCTTATACTCCAATTCCAACGGGAGGTGACAAGATTTTCCAAAAACAAGTTGGTACGGAGATATGCCCAATGGAGTCTTGAAAGTGGTACGTTAGGCCCAAAATGCATCATCCAATTTAAGCGACCAATCCTTACGGTTTAGCTTAGCCACTTTTTCTAAAATATTTTTTATCTCACAATTCGAAAGTTCCGCAAGACTATTGGTTTGCGGGTGGTAAGCCGTGGCTACTTTATGTTGGATGTTGTACTTTTCAAGAGCGACACTTAGCACTTTATTTATGAAATGAGTCCCTTCATCGCTTATCAATGCTCGGGGTGTACCAAAACGTACGAAAATATTTTTATGCAAAAATTCCACTACCGTTTTGGCATCATTTAATGGGCAAGCCTTTGCTTCTATCCATTTGGAGACATAGTCTACCGCAACCAAAATGTACTGTTTGTGAAAAAAACATGGGGAATGGTCCCATAAAGTCAATACGCCAAACATCGAAAAGTTCGACTTCCAAAATATTGTTCAAGGGCATCTCATTTCTTTGGGACAAATTCCCCATGCGTTGGCATTGGTCACAACTCTTCACGAATTCAAAAGCATCTTTAAACATGGTGAGCCAAAAAAATCCATTTTGTAAAATTTTAGCGGCCGTACGTTGTTCACCAAAGTGACCTCCATACAGCGATGCGTGACACTCCTTTAACAAAGCTTGGATTTCATCATTCGAGACACATTTTCTCAAAATTTGGTCCGATCCCATTTTATAAAGGAACAGATCGTCCCACAAATAGTGCTTGCAATCGTAAAGAAATTTTTTAAACCGATTTCCCTGAAAATGATACGGTTTAAGGCCACATGCAAGATAGTTGGCAATATCTGCATACCAAGGATATTGTTTTTGAAAACTGTGTTGTATGGCCAAAACATATTCATCCGGGAAAACTTCCTTGATCTCATGACTCCCCCCACTTGATACATTTTCTTCAATTCTAGAAAGGTGATCGGCCACTTGATTGTCACTTCCCTTTCGGTTAATAATCAATAACAAAATCCATCTAATAAGTCGTGGCTTAGCATCGACTTTGTTAAATAAATACTTTATTGTAGAATGATCTGTATGAACCGTGACTTTGGTACCAATCAAGTATGAACGGAAACAATCAAAAGCAAATACTACCGCAAGTAATTCTTTTTCCGTAGTGGTGTAATTCAATTGAGCTTCCACAAGAGTTTTACTTGCATAGTATATGGGGTGAAAAATCTTATTTTGCCTTTGTCCCAAAACGGCACCCACGGCCCAATCACTCGCGTCACACATTACCTCAAAAGGTAGGGACCAATCCGAAGTAATAATAATGGGTGTCGAGACAAGAGCATTCTTGATTGTTTCAAAAGCTTTTTTACAATCGGAGGTGAACTCAAAAGTTTGGTCAACATGCGATAAGTTACATAAGGGTTTCGCAATTTTAGAAAAATCCTTAATAACCCGTCGGTAAAAACCCGCATGTCCCAAAAAACTACGAATGCCTTTCACCGAAGTTGGTTCGGGCAATTGCATTATAACCTCAGTTTTAGCTTTATCAACTTCCAAACCTTTTTTTGAAACCATGTGACCCAAAACAATTCCCTCTTGTACCATAAAATGACATTTTTCCCAATTTAAAATCAAGCCATGGGTCTCACATCTTTCCAAACTCTTCTTTAAGTTTTCAAGGCAATTTTCAAAATTAGTGCCAATAACCGAAAAATCATCCATAAAAACTTCCATAGTGTCCTCAATCATATCTGAAAACATAGACATCGTACATCGTTGAAACGTGGCCGGAGCATTACATAAATCGAATGGCATACGTCGGAAAGCAAAAGTTCCAAATAGACAAATGAAAATAGTTTTCTCTTGATCTTCGGGTGCAATATGGATTTGATTGTATCCCGAGTATCCATCCAAAAAGCAATAAAACTCCTTTCCGGCCAAGCGATCTAGCATTTGATCTATGAAAGACAAAGGGGAAGTGATATTTCTTAGTAGCTAAATTCAATTGCCTATAGTCCATACAAATCCTCCACCCGGTAACGGTCCTAGTTGGGATAAGTTCGTTTTTGTCGTTGGTGATTACCGTGGTACCACCTTTCTTTGGCACGCATTGCACCAGACTTACCCAACCGCTACTAGCAATGGGGTATATAATACCCGCGTCTGACCACTTCAAGATTTCCTTTTTAACCACTTCTTTCATGATTGTATTTAGCCTTCTTTGAGGTTGTACCTTTCCAACACTATTTTCTTCCAAGGTGATCTTATGTTGGCAAAGGGACGGACTTATTCCCCTAATATCAGCTATGGTCCAACCAAAGGTTTTCTTATGGTCTTTCAGCAAATCTACTAACCTTTCTTCTTGTTAACTACTTAAGTTGGAAGAAATAATCACGGGCAATTTTTCTCCCTCCATAAGATATGCATACTTAAGATGTGAAGGCAGTGGCTTTAACTCCAAGTCGGGTGCTTCTATAATGGACGGGGTTTGGGTTGGTATATCTTTAAAATCTAACTATTCAAAGGCAGCTATGTCCTCAAGTAAGTCTTCTTCACAAATGTCTTCTGCCATGCCCACAATGTCTCCACTGTGGACACAGTCGATCAAACTTAGATCTAAATCTTCACCTACTGAGTAAATAGATGAACAGTCTTCAATTTTCCCATTGAACTTAAGAGTTTTAAACACATTGAAAGTCACCTGCTGGTCGTTCACTCTTATGGTCAACTCTCCCTTTTGTACGTCAATCAATGTTCTACCCGTAGCAAGAAAGGGTCTTCCTAAGATGATCGGAACATTCCTATCGGCTTCATAATCTAACACTAGAAAGTCGGCTGGAAAGATGAATTTGTCCACTTTTACCAAAATGTCTTCAATTTTTCCTTTTGGATATGCCAAGGACCTATCCGCTAGTTGCAAAGTCATGGTGGTAGGTCGAACTTCCCCAACTCCCAACTGATTAAAAATGGACAAAGACATGAGATTTATACTTGCCCCAAGGTCACACAAGGCATGACCTACTTCTTTTCCTCCAATTAAACACGGGATGGTGAAACTTCTCCGGTCTTTTAATTTTGGGGGAATTTTGCAAGTAAAAAGGGCATTACATTCCTTTGTCAAAGACACGGTCTCAAATTCACTCAGTCTTCTCTTTTTATTGAGTATGTCTTTCAAAAATTTAACATAGCTAGGCATTTGCTCGAGAGCTTCTACCAAAGGTATGTTAATGTGGAGTTGCTTAAAGATGTCCAAGAACTTCTTAAATTATACATCCACAGTTTTTGCTTTCATCCTACTTGGGAAAGGTAAATCTCTCAGATCTAAATATGTTGGACCGATCTTTTTCTGTTGGGGTGTGGGTAGTTTCTGCCTATTGTGAGCAGTGTCAGGTGGAGACTGGGTGGTGCTGGAACTGGGCAGGCTGCTGTTTCTGAAATATAAACTGGATTTTGTGTTACTTCAGTTGTAGAAAACATAACTGGAAATTTCGATGTGTCAAAAGAATGTGAAGTATTTTCTTGACAAATCGGCTCACTAGGTGTTTCCTTTGTGTTACTAGGGTCTCCCAAGTTCTTATCACTTCTTAAAGTCACGGCCTTGACATATTCTTTGGGTGTCTCCGTGTCACTAGGCACAGTTCCTTGAGGTCTATTTTTGATATCTGCGGCAAATTGGCCGAGTTGGTCTCGAAGTTCCTCAAGGTGGCATTGGTTTGGTTTATAATACCTTTAAGTAAAGATTCGAGTGAACCATTACCCTCCGATGCATTTTGTTGCCTAGGTGCATGTGATTGTGAAGATTGCCCATTTTGGTACACGTGATGATTACCTTGCATGTGATGACCACCTTGATGCAATCCCGGGGGATTCGAGGGTCGGTTTTGGACTTGAGTTGCCCCGGGGGGTTGAAGTCCAGGATTTTCGGCCCATGAAAAATTCGGATGATTTCTCCAATTTGGATTGTACGTAGGATAAAATGGGCTATTTCTTGTATGGTTTCCAACATAATTTACCGAAACGGGATTTCCGGGGCAAAACTCATAAGAATGATTTTCACCACAAAAAACACAAGATCCAGTTATGGAAGAATTGGACATTATGGATTGCACTTGACTCTTTTCCCCATTCAAATTTAAATTGTTTTTAACCAAATTAGTTAAAGCAACAATTTGGGCATTCAAAGAAGAAATGGCATCAAGCTCATGAATGCCCGAGGCAAATTTAGAAACAACAGCACGAGGGTTAGACCATTCAATATTATTATTAGAAATTCATTCCAAAATATCATACCCCTCGTTATAGGTTTTAGCTATGAAAGCGCTATCGGCCGTTGCATCAAGAATGATTTTAGCGGCACTAGAAAGTCCATTTTAAAAGGTTTCCAATTAAATACAATGGGGGATTCCATGATGAGGACACTTCCGTAGAAGATCCTTGAATCTCTCCCATGCATCCAATACCGCTTCATCTTCTTCTTGGCGAAACGTCATAATTTCATTTCTAATTTTTACATTCCTCGTCGGAGGAAAGTATTTTTTTTAGAAATTTTTCCGCCAAATCATTCCAAGTAAGGATCGAGTTTGGTGGTTGAGAATTTAGCCATGCTCTAGCTCTATCCTTCAATGTATAAAGGAAAAGCGTCAAACGTAAGGCCTCTTGTGTAACTCCAGGAATTTTAAAATGATCCGTCATTTCTATAAAAGATTTCAAATGAGAGTGCGGATCTTCCGAAAAAATCCCTCAAACTAACCCATAGCGGAAATCATTTGAAACATTACCGGCTTGGGTTCAAAAGGTGTTGCTGTCATTTTGGGCCTACTAATTCCCGAGGCCGATTGACCAAATTCGGGTGTTGCGTAGTCCCGTATGCCTCTACTTTTGTCATCGGCAATATTAACCGTGGCTTCCCGAGGAGGTGGATTATCCCTCATGGTACGATTTAAAGTGGGATTTCGCCGATTGTTTCTACCTCTTCTTCGACTCCTAATGGTTCTTTCTAACTCAAGATCAAGAGGTAAAAGATCACCGTGTTGTAGCCGTGGCATACAACACAGGAACAACGATTGAAACAAATGAACAGGCTCAAATGAAAATCAATATCTCAGGATAAAAATCACACCACTCCCCGTTAGCGGCGCCAAAAACTTGATGTGCTAAAATCCTAAGTGTGCACACAGTGGGCACAAAGTCCCCAAAATGGTGGTGCAAGTGCACACCGACACTATGATCGCTTCAAGTAATAGAGTGTATAGTACCAAGATCATTTCCACAGGGACTGGACTTACTGAGAATCAGAGAGTTTCATGAACTTCTTGAACATGTTTCGGTTTTAAGAAAATAGTTGAGTTTTGTTTGTGCAGAGCTTAGAAATACAAAATAAACCTTTGAAATTAAAAGATGGGTATGGGTGTAAGTTTCCCTTAAGAAAATTGCAGGAACAGTTTGGTCAGAAACTCATGGGACTTCTATAAGAACTCCGATCTCTCGAAAGTGAATTCTTATATACTGTGCCCACAAAGTGCCCACAAAGCGTCCAATTTTACCAATCTTAAACTTGCCGAATTAGCTAGTAGATAAAAAGATATCTGGTTCCACTAGCCTGAAGATTTATACTCAAATCTCTTTGTAGCATAAACTCGACTAATATCTGAACAAAAGCTAAAAACATGCAAAACCCGCATCTCTGCGTGATTATCAAAGACTCTCAAATCTTTGTGCATCATMTATGCCGTATTTCAGATCCGCCCATCTCTGGATCAAGGATCTAATATTAACACTTCAAAGTGATCAGCTTATCTGTGTTGAGCTTAAGTCCCGACTTAAATGACCAAGCTTAAGAWTCAATAAAATTGGCAACACCCAAGTGTGCCTTCAAATTCTTAAGTTTGACTCACACCCACACCCAAAGGGGTGCTTAGCTCATAATAAAATTAGAAAACATAGAGGAAACAGAAGAAGAAAAATGCATAAGAAATACTTGAAGTGAAAATAACACTTAAACTGTTGCCCACTGTGAGCATACAATGCATTGTGGCGAGAATTAAAGACTAAGTACGAAAATAAAATTAAATGCAGAAATTAAACTTGCTTTACTGCTCTAGAGCTTGAGAGAGTGCTCCAAGGCTGCTTAGCTGAATTGTTGATGGATTGATTGTCTTCCAAGTGAGAGAAAAGCTTCAATATATAGTGAAAAATTGAGAGCCGGACAAACTCTTCGCCCAAAGGAAGAAAGTCTTCATTGACTAGAGGGTAAAGACCCCCCATCACTTCTTGTCTACTTTCCAGGCCTTGTCACCTTTTTTGAAAGGTTGAAAAGGGTAAAGTTACCTAACCCTTAAATTAAGGAAAAGGTAATTAAGCCTTTTTTTATTAAAATAATGGTAGGGTTACTTTTAAGACATTTTTTAATCCAACAAGGCCCATTCTTCTAAATAATTCAAGAATTTTGGATCTGACTTCAGAGTTAAATCCTTTTAATACCCAGGAGAGCCAGTATTTGAATTTTGTCCAAATCCGTCTTGAGGAAAATATGTCATAGGAAGAATGTGAGCAGAAAGTGGGCATTATACTAACATCAATGGTTTTTCAGAAAATAATCAAATTCTTGACCTTTCATCACCTCTTAACATATTTTGGACCAAAAATACAAGATAGGAACAAAATGGGTACAAAAGACACAATAAAATAGGGATATTGAACAACAAATAACTCTCACAAATTGAGAGTTATCAGCCTACCCCTCTAGGTAGCACCTCAAGGCTCATTAGTCTTAATGCCTACCCCTCCGGATAGCACCTCAAGACTCAATAATATTAGTGCCTACTCTATAGAGTTTCTTATCACCAGAATCTCATTCTGCTTGCCCTCCGTCCATCCACAACCCCTTCAACATTGGGTCAGTATCAACAAGTATAGAAAACTCATACTATACAACTTGAACATGCTAAATAACTCCATATGCATTCATCTTTCATATACATAACACCATGTGCATAAAACGTCTGTTACCATGAATACCATACTATTTAGCACACGTATACCAACAAGGATCAATAAGCTCAAACAATGCCAAGACTACACACATGCCAAATACGACCTACTCATATGCCTATCGATCCATTGCATTACAACTCCAAACTACATGACTCCAATTTGAATGATCAACACATTCAAAACATGTAATCTCAATTAATATGCAATGTACTCAAAACCCATTCATATATCCCTATTGAACCATTTTTGTGGAACAAAGTTCCATAACACATGTGAACCAATTTCAAACCAACAGAACCTCCAACTTACTTGACTACTCCATGAATGTCAACAAAATTCAATACAAATATATTTACTTCATATTTATGCAATTTCATTTATCAAAATGGGAATATATCCTAAAAATCCTATTTATTTGAACCAACCCTCAAAATTCATGCTCTAATGATTTGTATCTCCAAATGTCTCACAACCCCAAATATACATATTTTCAAGGTTTTATGAAATCAATTGTACCAAGGATGCATACATACCAAATAAACACCAAGATTTGACATATCACAAAGAACGCATGTACAACTTCAAAATAGACATTTTGACATGAATATAGTTTTTATAAAGTGACTTGAAACTCGTATTGTTAGGGAGGTTAAACCTAGTTTCCAAACCCAAGATCGAGCTTCCAAAGTGAAGACTTGAGATCCACATGCAACATCTCCAAGAAATCTTCTCAACATCAACCACGCTAAAATATACCAAACATTAATACAAACTTCAAATCCAACAAAACCCCAAACATAGATCTCAAAATACTCAAAATAGCTTACATTTTCAAACTTGAAGGATCTAAGCTAAATACTTATGTGGAGCTTCCCGATCCTCAAACTGCACATGCAGAGTTCTAAAAATCGACTCCCAAGCTCCAAAATCTCCGAACTAGAGAGATAATGGTGGAGGAGAAGGTTTGGTGTTAATAAATGAGGAAGAAAACCTCAAAATTGTATATTTTTAGAGCTGACAGGCCTTAATGCGACTTTTCATGCAACTAAAGTCGCTCGGATTTCTGAAAAGTTGCACGAAAAGTCGCCCATATTCCAAAGTCGCGTGGAAAGTCGCATTGATCTATGTTCATCCGAATTTTTTGTTTCTCGACCGTTTTTCTTTTGATATAAACAACAGAATTATGGACGTTACATGATTGGTTATGATGATAGTTATTGGTAGCTATTTGAAGACACGCTTATAGTGTGATTGCCTATTTTGATTGGATTAGTGACGGAAAGAGAGGAAGGGGGTCTATTACTCTCAAAATGGTTAAAATAGTTTTCAAATATAAAATGACCAAAATGTCACGTATTTAACAGGAGTTAGTAACAAAAGATCATTAGACGAAGAGACTAAACAAAAGATTTGCTAAACGTTAGGAATGAACTTGAAGAGCTCCAAAAATCCTTATGTAAAGATTCCTAATCCTCAAACAACACTTGAAGAGCTCCAAAAATCGAATCCCAAGCTCCAAAATCGCTCGACTAGAGAGAGAATGGTGGAGGAGAAGGTTTGGTGTGAAGAAATGAGAACAAAACCTCGAAATCGGATCCTTTTAGAGCGGATAGGCCTTAATGCTACTTTTCTTCCAATTAAAGTTGCGGATTCCTTAAAAGTCACACGGAAAGTCGCCCACATTCCAAAGTCACGTGGAAAGTCACATTGATCTTTGTTCGCCTGATTTCTCTGTTCCTCGACCATTTTTCCGACCGTTTCTCGATTGTTTCTCTTTTAACAGAAACAATGAAATTGCAGGTGTTACATGATTGGTTGTGGTGATAGTTATTGACGGTTATTTGCAGACAAGCTCACTGTGGCAATTACCGGCTTTTGATTGGATCAGTGACAGAAAAAAGGGGAAGGGGTCCATTACTCCAAAAAAAGTTAAAATATTTTTAAAATATAAAATGACCAAAATGTCACTTACTTAAGTGGAGTTATCAAAGAAAGTAACGATCATTAGATAGAGAGACTAAACCAAAAGATTTGGCAAACGTTAGGAATGGAAAAATAATGAGATAAAAACCATTAAAATGGACAAATATCAGGAATTAAATTTGCAATTTTTAGTATAATATTTATGCATTGTAACTTAAATTTATTTCATAAAAGAGGTTCTAGAAGGACAAAATGTAAAAATTTTAAAACATAATATGTTAGGTTTAAACCATGGATGTATTACAAGGTAAATCGATCAAGGAATAAGGTCAGGAATCATGCTTTGGTGCATAACGGCTAGTTTGATCGGGTTTTATCTGAGCTTTCTAGGTCTTAAATCGGATCATATTTTCAACTAAAATATGTTAAAAATAAGTTCAATGTGCCTTTTTGGTCTGTGCTTGTAGGGTCAGGCTTTGGTACTAGAATTTTTTGTGTATCTCTAGGGTGACATGAAATGAAATAAAGTTCAATCTTTTGAATTATAAGTGCTTTGAGTCCGAATGCAAATAATGATAAATGATAATAATTATCTTTTATTATTTAAACTCCATATAGTATAATTATAACTTCAAAATAAAACCATACCCTCATCATTTCGGTTTGTTTGTACCCTTCGTCCTTGCTCAAAAAGAACATTAAGTCCATATGTTAAGTTGACGACCATTTTGATCATTTTGCCTTTTTATTAAAAAAAGTTAGTGTATAAATATGCATGTATGTGTACAAGCATTTAAAGCATTAAAAACCCTACCCTTCCCACCTTAACTTCCTCTTCCTCCCCTTAACCCACTTCCCATGAACCAAGAACAATCCTTGAGAACGTAAGCCGGTTAACGAAGTTTTCATTGTAAATAAGCTTTTCTGAACCAAAAAACCCACATCTTTTACTTAGTTTTGTATTCTCTTTAACTCTGTTGGTGACTAAATCTTGTGTGTGTTTGTGTCGTGCAAGCTTATGAGCTTTAAAATTTGATTAGTGATGCTCTAATTAGGTTATCGAATTTTTCTTAAATTAGCTAAAAGTAGCCTAAAAATTTGACTTATTAGGATCAACTAGACAGAAGTAAAACATTGGGTCCAACTCTTATTTGGTGTAAAGGTAATTAGGCTAGAAGAAGGAGACCTATCATGGGACAAACAGTTCATTACATATATATGATCATTTAGTTTGCAGCATAATTCAAGTTAGTGACGAAGGTGAAGTTTGAGTTCATTTGTTGGAAGCTAGAGAAGATGTTGGAGCAAACGGTGTGACGATCAAGTTTTTCTATGACTTAATCTGACCAAGTTGTTACGAATTTGTGTCAAACCCGTCTCTCTAGGTTATTTCCATCTTGTTAGAAACATTCATTTTGATCGTGTTTTTTGTAATTAAACGATCTCTACATTATAAAATCCTTCGAGATCGCTTAAGGCAGCCAGCATAATTAATAAAGCAAATGCCTCCCCAAGCTCCGCCGCCCACCACCGTACCCAGAAGGTTCAACTTTATCTATGGCCACCGGAAACCCACTCAGAATCGCCCCATTGTCCGCGGTGGCATTTTCTCCAATCGCCAAATCCTCTTCCCCAATCAAAATCATGAACAAGCCACCACCAATTTTGAACTCGAAAAATGGAACCCACAACAATCCGTCACCGCCCCACCACCACCACTTTCCCCATCGCAACATTTCTTCTCCGTTGCCCAAACGCTATCTCCCATCGCCCGTTACATCGTCGACTCCTTCCGGAAACACAAGCACTGGGGTCCGCCGGTCGTCGCCGACCTCAACAAACTCCGCCGTGTCACCCCGAAGCTCGTTGCGGAAGTATTAAAAGTACAATCAGATCCAAATATCTCCTCCAAATTCTTCCATTGGGCTGGTAAGCAGAAAGGGTATAAACATGATTTTGCTAGTTACAATGCCTTTTCTTATTGCTTGAATAGAAACAATCAGTTCCGGGCAGCCGATCAGGTGCCGGAGCTGATGAACATGCAAGGTAAGCCACCAACTGAGAAACAATTTGAAATCTTGATTAGGATGCATTCTGATGCTAATAGGGGTCTTAGGGTTTACTATGCGTATGAGAAAATGAAGAAATTTGGGGTGAAACCTCGAGTTTTCTTGTATAATAGGATCATGGATGCTCTTGTGAAAACGGATCACTTGGATTTATCTATGTCTGTTTACAATGATTTCAAGAATGATAAATTGGTGGAGGAAGGAATCACTTTCATGATTTTGGTAAAAGGATTATGTAAGGCTGGTAGAATTGAAGAAGCCCTCGAACTTCTTGGCCGGATGAGGAAATTGTGTAAACCAGATGTGTTTGCTTATACTGCAATGATCAAAATATTAGTTTCAGAGGGAAATTTAGATGGGTGTTTGAGGGTTTGGCAAGAAATGGAGAGCGACAAAGTCCAACCCGATGTTTTGGCTTACGCAACTCTTGTCATGGGATTATGCAAAGGAAATCGAGTGGAAAAGGGTTATGAGTTATTCAAGGAGATGAAAGAAAAATGTTATTTGATAGATAGGGCTATCTATGGATCGTTGATTGAAGGCTTTGTAAACGATCGAAAAGTTGGAGTGGCATGTGATTTGTTGAAGGATTTGATCGAGTCGGGATACAGAGCGGATTTAGTGATATATAATCATCTGATAAAAGGGTTATGCAACATGAAACATGTTACAAAGGCACATAAACTTTTCCAGGTTACAGTTGAAGAAGATCTCAGGCCCGACTTTGAGACTGTGAATCCGATGTTGTTTTCTTATGCAGAGTTGAGAAAATTTGATGAATTTTGCAAACTGCTTGTACAGATTCAGGGTTTAGGGTTTAGGGTCATGAATGATCTTGTGAAATTCTTCTCTCTAATGGTAGGGCAAGAGAGAGATGGAGCCGTAATAGCTTTAGAAGTGTTTAATAACCTGAAGCCGAAAGGTTATTGCACTGTTCCGATATACAATATTCTTATTGGGGCACTCCACAAGATCGGAGAGGTTAAAAAGGCATTAATGTTCTTCCACGAATTGAAGGAATCGAAGATGGAACCCAATTCTTGTACCTATAGCAATGCAATTTTGTGCTTTGTTGAAACCGGAGAGATTCATGAAGCATGTTCTTGCTACAATGAAATAAAAGAGATGTCTTCAATTCCGTCTATTGATGCTTATGTGTCATTGGTTAAAGGTCTCTGTAAAATTGGAGAAATTGATGATGCTTTCATGGTTGTTCGTGACTGTTTAGCGAATGTCACTAGTGGGCCCAGGGAGTTTAAGTATACTCTTAGAATTATTCATATTTGTAGATCGAATGATGCCAATAAAGTGATGGGTGTTATCAATGAGATGGTGGAAGATGGTTGTTCACCTGATGATGTTATATTTTGTGCGGTTATCGCTGGCATGTGCCGTTATGGAACTATTGAGGAGGGTAGAAAAGTTTTTTCAAGTATGAGAGAGTGCAAGATGCTAACGGAATCGGACTTGGTTGTTTATGACGATTTGCTAATTGACCATATGAAGAAGAAAACAGCCGACTTGGTGCTGTCTGGCTTGAAGTTTTTCAGGCTCGAGTCAAAGTTGAAAGCAAAGGGCTCTAATCTCTTGCCAAGCTAGAAATGTGAGATTAGGTATGTTAACATATATATATATATATATATATGTATGTATATGTATATTCATAGGGGAAGGTTTATTTAGGAACTTTACATATTTTGAGAACCAACAATTCATGAATTATTCACTATGAATATACCTAAATATTCATTAATATTATTTTCATTAATAACCGGTTCCGGTCCTAGAAAAAGCCAAAAATACCAACCAGTTCATAACTGCCGGTCCACAACTGGTTACTACCGGTCCCGGTCGGTTCCAGTCCCTCGCCGGTTCCGGTTACGGGCCTCCATCGGTTACGGGCCGGGCCGGGCCCATTTGGCCATCTCTAGTCATGATATTCATCATAAATAAATATGAATAATTGGTTCTCACGATTCTCAAAATATTTATGGTTTTTGAATGAACCTGCCTCTTGTTTCCTATAACTTGTGTGCTTACGTGGTGTTCTAAATTTAATAGAGAATATAAATTTCGGGAGAGATTTTGGTTGCGGGAGATTGTGCAAGTTATCCTTGGTGCTCTATAAGTTCATCGACTCGCAAGAAGTGCAACACTTTCCAGTTTTCATTCTTGGGATGGTTTTTACGTCAATAACACTTTCTATGGTATTCTTTTAAAAGTTAATTGTGCTTTATTTTGGTTAGAATTTGTGAAAGACTTAAACTTTAGGAGATAGTGAACTTTTATATTGGTGTTATAATCTCTGCCTCATACTGGAAGTCTTGAAACATCAGTAACTTTAACCATCTTCATTCATTCGATTTGGTTCAGAAATTTCAATCAGTAGACTTTGTAACTATTGAAGCTTTGAAACCGACCAGTAGAATGTTATGGTTTAGAATTGCAGCTCAGGTTACGACAGTTGAGTAACAAATTCAGAAAATTTGGGTTAGGGTTCGAGTCTTAATATTTTCACAATCAGAATGACTTGGTAGTTGGTACTTGGTACTAGTGTGTCAGAGTGGCATGGGGGTGGGGTTGCAGCATGGCTGCTGTGGTTTATTTTGTGGGCTAAGTTTGTATCGACAATAAATACCGTGAAAATGTGGTTCCTGGAAAGGCGTAATCTTGCGTAGTTGCAATTAAAATTTCTGTCTTTCAATGCGGTGTTTATTATATGATTTCTCATATTGCAATTTGAAACTCTTGTCGTCAAATGAGCAGAAGTTTTTGTGTAATCTGCTTTGTTGGTTTCAGAAGTAGACCAAAATTTGCTAATGATTATATGCAGAATTGTTAACAAACAAATTCTCAACTTGGATGTTTTTTCTTGTTGATTGCAGGAACATCTTAATGAGTAATGACTTCTTAAAGGCCGACGAGAACGTCATTTTTATCGAGAGATCTTTGGTCCGTCCACCAGGTACTTTTCTTCCTTGCTCTTGGTATAACATGTCAATGTCAGAAGGTTATGCATTTAAAAAAAATTGTTAAGACAATCATGCATATAAAAAAAATCTCTCAGAAGGTTATTATGATAAATAACCTTGCTTTTAGAGCTTGGACTTCTACCAAGATCCAATAATCATTTGGAAAAGATCGAATTAACATAACCATTGATCTTTAATTCTTATGCATTTCTTAAGATTTTCGTCTAAAACATATTTGGCCCACAAGTCGTGAGCCTTAGACCAAAACATATATTTTAGCAATAAAACTACAATTAGTTAATGGTGGTATGAAATAGTGATCAAGATTAGCAATAATTTATTTAGGTTGTATTCCTAATTAATGTTTGTGAACCATCTCACCACACCTTGTGGTTGTTGTCCTTTAATCGAAGAAGCACTTAGTGGGCCGATTCAAGAGATTTGGGCCACTTCTCAAATGGTCCATTCGAACTTAGGTGCAAAGAAAGATGAAGGAATACTAAATCTGAGTCAAGCTATTGATAGGTTGATGCTTAATTGGTTGATTGATTGACATCCTTCAAGCGTGACTGTTGGTGAATTAAAAGGATTGATTTTTTAAAGGATTCTTTTATTGTTCTTTTTCCTTTTATAATTATTTTTCTTTTTCCAAAATCATGCATATAAATAGGGTGGATCCATTGTATGAAGGACACAAATTATCATTGATAAAGTTTGCTTCTTATTTTGGTTTTCCAAAGGGCTTCTGAAGTTATCATGGATTTTTCCTTGTGGCATTCAAATTCCATTTCGATGGTTCATGATTCTATTATAATCTTTGGTTCGAGGTTTTGCTTCTTATACCTTTTTGTTCACGTTTCTGTGATAAACAGTGGGTCGTTTTGCTTCTTATACTTTTGGTTCATGTTTTAGTCATAAATGTTGGATTAGGGTTTGCTATTAGACTTTGAATCCTAGTTGTCTTGGGACCACTTCCCAATATCAACTGTCATTGAGGTCTTACATTATTTGGTATTATAGCCTTGGCTCTAAAATTAGGATTTTCTACCCCCATTACCTTTGTTTCTTTTGCACATATTACCTTGTTTTGTTGAGTATTCCTTAATTATTTGCTTCGTTTTCAATCTTGCACCTAGTTTGATGGTTCAATAAAGAACCGAAAAGAAGAGTTACGAGTGAAAAAAGGCAAGAGAGTGTGTGACTAATATTGATAAAAGCCAATTTAAGAGTGAAACTCATCCAAGTGCAAATACATGAGGGACTGATCAGAGGTTTATTCCTAACATTTGTATTTTGTTTCAAAGGTGTGTCTGCCAGCACATCAAACAAAGACAGAGTAGAGGGGCCTTTCTTTATGTTGCAAGCTGTGCAACAACAATTTGAACGCATGAATGTGGTGTTGGATGAGATTTGAGATTGGATAGATACGCAAGAGGCTGCAATTGCAACTTTGCGTAAGGTGCAGCCCCACAGAGCCCCAAATGCGAGGAGGCAAAAAAGAAAGGCACATGCGGACGAATTTGGGAGCGAGTGGGAAGATGAAGACAATCAATCCTTATTAAGTTGAGAGTTTTTCGAAGAGATCCAAGGTGGCAAAAGGGGATTGACAGAAACGTAGGGAACGTCAATATGAAGATACCAACCTTCCACGGGAAGAACGATCCTAAAGTGAGAAAAGATGGTGGAACAGATTTTTGAGTGCCACAACTACTCTGAGGAGAAAAAGCTAAAACTTGTTGTCATTGAGTTTACCAACTATGCCATTATATGGCGGGATCAACTTGTGGTGAATAGGAGGAGACTGATCATTTTTACCTTTACAGGGAGTTGAATCAGAAGTTGCAAAGTCTCACTCAAGGTTATCAGAGTGTGGATGACTATTACAATCGCTATGTTGAGACTAACCTGTAGGAGGATGGAGAAGCTACCATGGCAAGGGTTTTGAATGGGATGAATCGGGACATTGCCAACATGGTGGAATTCAGCACTACGTGGAGTTGGACGAAATGGTGCACATGGCATTAAAGGTGGAACAACTTAAAAGAAAAGGAACTCGTCTATCTCAAAATAGCATATTCTACTTAATTGAGGTCAAATGGGAAGAATGATGAACGAGCTGTTTTTAAGTCCAAAAGCAAACCCCTAGTCTAGGTACAGAAACAGGTGCTAATTTCCTTTCAATTGGGAGGTACCCGGATGACTCTGTGATACTCCAATGCATGCAGGACACATACTATTTGGCAGGTTGTGTAATTTGATAGGAACGTTATTTATGTCGGGTTCAAGAATAGGCATTCTTTTGTGTAAAAAGGGAATGAGTTAGACAAAATTGCGAGTCCAAGAGTTTGAAAAAAATAGATGACAGAGTAACGGAAAAGGAAAAGGAGTTGGAAAAGAAAGCAAGTCATGGGGAAAGTGAGCGGAAAATGTTTCAATGTTAACGAATCTTTGCGTAGTGTTGTCTCATTTTTACAGGAATATGAGGACGTGTTTTAATACTTTGGGTTCGGTCGATTTGGCAAACGGTTCTTTGTGAAATCTTGACAAGATGCAAGTCATTAGCGCACATTTTTTTTTTGATTAACCTGGATATCCAACCCGCTATGCGAGCCGATTAATCCCAGGACGATCACCTGCTTTGCAGATAGCCCGGAGTCATCGCATTTGAACCTCCGTGGCCACAAGGGGATTTTTATTCCTCCTTGGATTTGAACCTGGACCTCCTGGTACTTTTGACCTTTGGAGCCAAGCTCAAACCAATCAGACACCACTCTTGTGGTTTCATTAGCGCACTTTGGCATTCACGGGAGTTGGATGATGACCTTGAGGACATTTGTGAGAGGCTCTAGCATTTGGAGTGTCCATGGATCAGCTTTTTGTGAGGGTTTCTCGTTGATACGTGTTGAAGTTTGTTAGTCGATTAGCTAATAGTTAGATACTTACGTGGCTTCCTGTTTATTTCATTCTCCTTGTATAAATAATGAGACTCTGTATTATTTCTTATTCGAAATAACAACTTTTTCCCCTTCTCTCTCTATGTTCACGACTTTCTATTTTTCTATTCTTTCAAGTCTAAAATGGTATCAGAGCAAGGTTAAGCTTCATCATCTATTCTTTCATCACTGATTGATTCTTTTTCTCTTTTATTTGATTTCTTTCAATATCAATCATCTGATAATCTGATTCTTAATCAATGACGATGACTGAAAGCCCTAATTCTGTTTCGACTGGATCTTGAATCAACACTAGTGGAATTAACACCTTAACTTACTCAAATCCTTTGTTCTTGAGTCATACAGATAATCCAGGAGCAGTTATTGTATCACAAGTCTTCAATGGAAAAAGGTTTGGTGCTTGGAAACGTAGCAATGACATTAGCACTATCAGTTAAAAACAAATTAGGTTTTGTTACTAGCAGAACTAAGAAACATGCTAAGGATGATCCAAGCTATGAAGATTGGGAGAGATGCAACTCAATTGTGATTATGTGGATCTTGAATGCTGCTAGTCTAGAAATTTCAGAAAGCTTGATCTATCATACTTCTGCAAAAGCGATTTGGAATGAACTGCATCATATGTATGAGCAATCATATCTTGTTGTTGCTTTTCAATTGTAGAAAGAATTAAATCTCATATCGCAAGGGGCTGATTCTGTGACAACATATTACACCAAATTCAAACGAATTTGGGATGAATTTGCTTATGTAGATGAAATGCCTGATTGTAGYTRCACARCARGAGAAGCTTGGCTGAAACRTATGGACAGACAACAATTAGTTCAATTCTTGTTTGGCCTAAATGATAGTTATGCTTCAACAAGAGGAAGCATTTTACACAGGAAACCTACTCCTATTCTTGCAGAAGCATATGCAATTCTTATTCAAGAAGAGCAACAACGAGCAGTCACAGCCCCGATGAAGTTGAATATTGACAGTGTAGCAATGCATGTCAAGAATAATCAGAACAGATTTGTTGCTAACAATGAAACGAGAAAAACTTTGATCTGCAATTATTGCAAGAAGAAGGGGCACACTAAATCATAATGATATAGGCTGAATGGTTTTCCAGAGCATTTCAAGTTTACGAACTCAAGAAAATCTGCTGGTAATGTTACCATTGGAGATGAAATTAATATGAAGGATTTGGCTGGTGGAAACACAGAATTATCGAGCAAATATTACAATCAGTTGATGAGCTTTCTAAAGCAATGCAAGGTTGTTGATTCAACTCCTACTTTTGGAAAACCTGAAGAATTTGAAAATTCTTTCACAAAAGTTGTTAATGGCTTTGCAGCATGTGCAGGTAATTCAACTTTGACTTATTTTCTTTCAAAGTTGTGGATAATAGGTTTTGGGGCATCTGATTATATGTGTAGCCATTATTCCATGTTCACTTCAATCACAAAACTATCTAAACCTCATAAAGTCTCTTTACCTAATGGTAATGTTTTGTTTGTTGAATATGTAGGAACTGTGTCTCTTTCGTCTTGGTTATGTCTTTCTCAAGTCTTGTTTGTTCCTACATTTCATTGTAATCTTTTATCGGTCACTAAATGCACTGCTTAACATCAAGCTCGTCTTATTTATCTTATATGGATTGTTGTATGCATGACTCTCTCACCATGAAGCTCTTGGCACTTGATAAAAGAAAGGGAGGCTTGTATTTTTTGAATCCTGAAGATCTCAGACATAGGTTTTTTTTATGTTCATTCTGTTTCAAATCATGTTGTTTCTAATCCGTTTGATAAACTTTGTTCCTTATGGCATTTACATTTTGGTCATATTTCAGTGAATAAACTCGGACAATTGAATCTTGTTTCTTCTAAATGTAACAAGAATATGTTTCATTCATGTGTTACTTGTCATAAAGCTAAACAACATCGATTGCCATTTCCTGAGCGCCATACTAAATCTGTTGATAGTTTTGATCTTGTTCATGTTGATGTTTGGGGTCCTTTTCATACTCCAACATATGATGGTCATAAATACTTCCTCACTATTGTTGATGATCATAGTCGTACCACTTGGATATATTTACTAAGTCACAAAGGGTCAGCCTTCTCATTTATTCAATCATTTGTTCAAACTCAGTTTCAAAAACCATCCAAATCATTCATTCCGATAATGCAAAGGAATTAGGAAGTAGTCAAGAAGGGAAGACCTTATATACTTCTGATAAGCATGGTTTATTGCATTCTTAAAGTACCTATTTCTTATGTTTATTAGGTAGATTTTCATAGTTTATCCCAACCTTGAGTCATTTTTACTTCTTTATTTTCCATTTATTATGTTTGGAGCTAATTATGATGATGAATCTGTTTTTACAATAACTTGGAGTAGATAACATTTCTTTGACTCATTGCACTGCACTGTGATGCTGCAGCATTCCAACAGCATCGCCCGACTGCATTATGGCTTTTTGGAAAAGTGCTTATTGATTAAGCCGTGTCTTGGATAGAGGTCTGAGCTGAAGAAGCTCTCGTTTTGGACTATTAACAGCTGGTGAAATGATGTGGAGAAGACCCTTG